TGAGTCCCCATTGTCCTCGAGATCAATTATAATGGAGGGACACTTAGCTGGAGGGCGGGAGTGTTCTTTAAGAACTTTTTCTCCTTCTTTTAAAAGACTCTTTAAGTCAGGGGAGTGATTATAAACCTTGAGAATATCATTAATCAAATTCCAGTATGAAAAGGCAGAGACTGGGACCTTTTCAGGCCCAAAGGTATTACAGTAATCTTGGAGGCAGTTACCAATGCGCATGCAGTGTTTCTCATCTATAGTTCCTTCTTGGGGGAACCAAGGGTAAAGTTCCCCAATATATTCAAGAAATCTTTTTAAATCTTTCTTTTTAACCCTATTTCCCTGTGTCTTGAGAGAATCTTTAAGACCTTTTATGAATAAATCTTCCTTACTAAATTCTTGTCCCATGATTAATTCCTACCGTATCGTCACCATGAAGAAATCTCCCTCGAATCTGTATCATAGATGGGTAAGGCTGTGGTGATTCTTATGCGAGCTGGTGCTTAACCTTTCTCAGACTGCAGTGGCTCAGTGCCATTGGGTGGGCCCACCCATACAATCAGCGACGTTCCAGGGGATCCTGGGGGCTTTGAGCCCCACGTTCTGGGTGCCAGTTGCCCCGGCCTGCAGGGCGGGAGACAGAGACTCGAACTCCCAGGGACCTGGAATGATGGGACAAGAGACACGAAGAATGACAGCAAGACAAAGAACTCTGATCAAGCTGCAAAAGTTTATTTTTCCACAGGGATTCTTATACAGGCTGAAGCGGGAAATTAGCTGGGGAAGGGGAAGGGAAGGTGTTGTCTCAACGGGTTAATGAATGTCCCTTAGGATGAGGGGAACTGGCGCCGTGAGTCTTGTTGCAGGATAAGGAAATTGGTGGTTGCTCAAGCTTATCTTTGAGTCATCGGAAAGGTTGCTTATCTTAGGGGGCAGGGAGGACTGATCAGCAAGTTCTCTGGTGCTGCTTGCCCTGGAGGGCAGGGAGGGCTGCCAGGCAGTGTGGTCTCCCACACATATCTTGCCAGGTGAGTCCTTAATATGGTTCTCAAGGTTCATAGTTGAATAAGACTATTGGTACCACTTCTCTCCCAACAGACTGCATAGCACCTTATGACACTATGGAAGCTGACCATCAGGAAGAGGCTTTCAGTTCAGTACCAGCTTGATTTCTCCAAGTCTTGTGTGGTGTCTTTAGTAACAGGGTCTTACCCTGAAGTTCTGGTGGGCAACCAAGTACAATAACAATAGCCTCTATTGTTTTGAGGATCTATTGGACACCTCTGACCAACAACCCCAAGGGAGGTATCTTATACCTGGGACTGGGCTTTTTATAGTTTCCAGGAGGAGCACTATTTACCACATGCGGGGTAATTCCAGTTAAATTGTTTAATGCGTATCTTTCAGAAAGCTTATAAAATAAATTTCCATATGGCGTTTTCAAACAATGTTATTTATCCTTCCTCCTACCCCCCCATGTTTTGCCTTTCTATCCTTCTCCCCATTTAATTCTTCTCCCTCCCACATTATTCCCCTTTCCCCCTTCATACCAATGTGTTTTACTATCTCCCCCCTTTAAACTCCCCCCACCACAGTGGTACTTTTATATTTTCCTGGAATACTTTCTTCCATCTTTTCCTGTAAGGTGGTATCTATCCTCAAAGGTGAGGTGTGTTTCTTGTAGCCAATGAAAAGATGGGTCCCATTTCTTAATCCATTCATCTAGTTTATGTCTTTTGATTAGAGAGTCGAGGCCATTGCTATTTAATGTTATTTTTGAGAAGTGTATGTTGATGGCTGTCATTTTGTTGCTTTTGTGCTGTTTGTACTCTTAGTCTGCCTGCTTTGTATTGTGGTGTCATCTGTTTTCTTTCTGTGGCCTCTCGGTTATGCTTATTCTTCTCTTTAGCTGTATTTCTTCCAGTGTTTTCTGTAGAGCTGGTTTGACGGACGTGGATTCCTTTAGCCTGTTTATATCATGGGAGGTTTTTCTTTCTCCTTCAACTATGGAAAACAGTTTGCTGAGTAAATTAGTCTAGGTTGGCATCTGTGGTCTTTGGGATTTGAGTACATTGCTTCCATTTCTTCTGCCTTTTAAGAAGTCAGCTACTGTTTTCATGGGCTTGCTTTTATGTGACTTCCCTCTTGCAACGCTCTTTCTTGGTTCTGTATATTTAGTATTTTAATGATAATATAACATGAGGAATCTCTTTTCGATCCTGTCTATTTGGTGCTCTTTGTGCCTCTTTTATCTGAATGGGCATCTCCTTCCTTAGTTTTGAGAACTTTTCTCCCATGATTCTGTTGAAGATCTGTTCTATGTCTTTGACCTGAAATTCTTCTCCTTCTGTGCCTGCGATTCATAGATTTGGTCTCTTCACTGTGTTCCGAAATTCCTGTATATTCCATTCATGTGGTTTTTAAACTTACTGTGTTCTGTGATTAAGCGTTCCGATTGTCCATGTCTTCAGCTCCTGATAGTCTGTATTTTGTGTGATAAATTCTGTTGGTAAGGCTTTCCACTGAATTTTCTTGTTGGGTCATTGGATTTTCATTTCCATCTTTATTTCTGTTTGGGTTTTCTTCAGTATTTCAGTCTTTCTGTTGAATTCACTTTTCATATGCTGAAGTACCTTCATTATTTCATTCAGTTGTTTGTTTGAGTTTTCTTGGACTTCAGTCAGGAGTTCATTACTATCCTGTTCGTTCAGGTATTTATTCATTTCCTCTGTAAACTCTTTGAACTCTTTGAACATGCTTATAATTGTTCTTTAAAATTAAATTCTGTGTCTTGAGATTCATCTCTATTGTTGTTATTGATGATCTTGGGGGAACATATTGTCTTGTTTTTTTCATATTGATTGTGTTTTTGCAATGGGATCTGGAGTTAGGTTGTTGGTTTTGTGTTTGAGTTTCTAATCCACCTCTGTTGAGTGAGAGTTTGGTTATGGTTTTTTCTGGTACCCGAACTTGGCTAGTTTCAGATCTGGCAGGAAGTGCTTGAAACGCAATCCTTCAGATACATGGTGTTGATTTGTGAGTGGAAAGGCTGGGTTGATTTCAATTCAGTGGCTGTTAGGCTTTCCAGGGGTCAAGGTGGCAGTGCGAATCTTGAATGAGGTCTCTGGAAAGGTGGGAAAGGCAGTAGGGTGGGGCTGCAATAGCTAAACTCAGATGGACATGTGAATAGTTGCTTGGATTAGGCTTTCCAGGGGTCAAGGTGGCAGTGTGAATCTTGAATGAGGGTGGGGCTGCAATAGCTAAACTCAGATGGACATGTGAATAGTTGCTTGGACAAGGTACTGAAGCAGATGCGGTAGAAAGAGTGGGGCCAAGGGAACTTAACCACCAGCACCCTCAGCTGAGGCGGGGCCCCAGAAAAAGCAGCCTGGGGGAAGGGGAAGAGGGACTTAGAAATAGAGCCTGAGAATGGAATTTACTACTAGGACCAAGTCGTGGGGGAAGCAGCAAGGGGAAGTTAGGGGGTGAGGTTGTGTCAACAGAGCCTGCAAATGTCAAACACACAATTTAGGCCTACAATTTGTAGAGGATAAGATGCATCCAAAAAGTAGTGTGCAACAGAACCTTTCAAGTATGGAGGTTCTTGTGGCCCTTCAAGAGAAGGATTCCTCAACATTCATAGCAATATGCTGAGTGAAAGTTGGAAGGTACTTGGATGGTGCCCCTGTGAGCTCTGCTCTGTGGACTCACAAGTCACGCCTTTTGCTTTTCTTCTCTCTGCCCCTTCTCCTTTTACAAAAACTAGTTCACATGACAAAGCTCAGCTAGATCACGTGTCCTATAGTGCTGCTTAAACTTCCCAGAAAAGAAGCTTGCTAACCCGAAAGAACTTCCCATGATAGATCCCACCTAGTCATTCTTTCTCACCTTTTCAAGTGACCTGTACCACTCCGTAAAGTGACCACATTCTGAGAACTTGTGTTTTGATGGAGGGCCCTACTGGCTTGTGTATTTCTTTATATGAAAAGCTGATCATCAGGCAAGACTTGGTGGCGCCTGCCTTTAATCTCAACACTTGGGAGGCAGAGGCTCGTGGCTCTCGGTGAGCACTAGAATGTATAAATCAAGAAGTAGTAGGATCTCCTGCATATTATTCTCATGTGAAACCTATGTCATTGAAGCCTGTGTCTAACTTGCTAGAATTTATGTTTTCTGTTTCACAGAATTATTGACCCAATTCAAGAAATTGTCATTTTAAATGGTTCATTGAAACAAATAGTTGTGGTTAAAAAAAAACCCTATTAAATATAATTTTGATCATTGTTCCTTCTCATTAAATCCTAGGCAATAGTGTACCTATCACCTGAAGATCTTTTGAAGGGAGAAATCGAAGACTCATTGGAAAAGGTGCAGGTGGTCATTAATATCTTGAAGACTTTCCAAAATTATTTTTTCAAGTATAGGAAAGGATTGGCAAGCTATTTCACAGGAAATACAGAGCCAAGGTCCTGGGATTTTCAGTCTCACTTGGTGTTTTACAGACTTAACAAGTTTCTTGACCAACTACTGAAAATAGAGGTATCCATTTATTAACTTTAATTATTCCTATTGTGGGTAAAAATCAAGAAGCCTGCAGCTTGTCACATGACTTGTGGACAGTTATTTTCTGTGATGGGGGGAGGTCTGTAATGATAGAAGAATGGCCTTCAGAGCTATAACTTGATGGTTTCTTTATCTCCCTCCTTCCTCTGCATCTCTCTTTCCCGCTCTTCCTTTTTTCCTTCCTTCCTTTTTGTGGTACTAGAGATGACTCAGGGCCTTGTACCCACCAGGTAAGCTCTCCTTACCACTGAGTCATATGCCCAGCCCTTGGTTTTTTGAAACAGGGTCTCCCTATGTTGCTCAGGCTGGTCTTGAACTCTTATTCTCCTGCCTTTACCTCTGAAGTGCCAGAGTTACAGGTGTGCACCGCTACACCTGCTTTTAATTAATTTTTTTACTGTTATTATATGAGTAAATAAATCTCTTTCCCTATTAGTGACTCGACATAATTTACTAAGCATCTTGGAGAAAATTATGAACTAGGAAGATGTAAAGGAGTCACTCATCCTTTAAATATTGACAAGGAAACATATAAGACAAACTAGAAATTAAAATATTATACTTGAAACCCCATTTGGTAATTTAAAATCTCACACTGTCATTTTTTGCTTTATTTCTTTTAAATTTGTTTATTTATGATTCAGGGTCTCACTATGTAGCCCAGTCTGATCTCAAACTTGCTATGTAACCTGAGCTACTTCAGAGTCACCATCCTCTTGTTTAATTCTCTCCAATGTCTGGCTTTATATAATATCATTTGGCATATAGATAGATGTATCTATACCATTTATAAGTATACACTATAAAACAAATACAGATAGTAAAATCATTTATAAAAGTAAAAAGAATATGGAAAATGTGTTCTGTACAAATATTAAAAAAATATCTAAAATGTCAGAAGCGAATGAACACACATCCTACCCTTTATGTATTTAGTCTACCAGCCATGGTTTCTTAAATGTTTAAACAATGATCGTTGCCTTATTTTCTTTGTAAAGTTCTCTACAAATTTCAGATTTTATCATTGATGTAAGATTTGCTGAATTCCATTCAAAGCTAGAGATTTAAGTTGTGAAAATTCTTGTTGCCAATCTGAATGCCACTTAAAGCCACGAACATCTGACTAAGGACCTTGAGCATCTCTTTTCTGTTTGCTGAGCTCCCATCCAGGCACAAAGCTGAGTCACTGCAAAGTGTAGGTGGCTGAGGATAGGAATGTTGACTGGTACCTGGGGGACTGATTCACTGTTAGGATTGTACTTAGAAGATCCAGATGTACATAGGAAATTAGAAATTGTCTCCACTGTGAGATACTTTTCAGCAAGTGTGAAAATGAAGTATAATTCAAAAAATTAGCAATTGCTTTATTCAATAAATTAATATTTTATTAATTAATTAAATTAACCAGTAGCAGTTATTTTTTGTCGTGCATGTGTTCCTTGATTGTGAATGTTTGAATCTCTTTTTGACTTGAAACTTTAAAGTCTTCCTCTTTTCTTGCTAAAGATGACAGAAAGATCTTTACTGTTTTTTACAAAGGATATATTTGTCACCATACTGGAATTTGAAAAACTGGAAAGACTGGAATTTGGTGGCACCAAGGGAGCAATTCTAAATGAACAAATCCATGAGATGAGTGAAGAATTTATGGAACTCTGTAGAGTTTTTCGACAGAGCACTTATGACCCATCTGACTACGATAACATGGTAATATTGTACTTTTGCCTTTTAATTCCACAAGCTTTTTATCATTTCAAAACTGAAAGGGAGGGTAGTCATGGTGAGGATAACTGCCCAGGCTAACCCCTGTAAGACCACAGGACATCAAAGACCCTCTTTAATTCTCCTTTTCCTTGTTGCAAATCAGGGACCAGAACTAAGGCTTATTATACTTTCAGTTCGGAGCTGTTTCTGATAGAACTGTGAGCTACAGTCTAGGTTGGTTTCTTCTGCATATTGAAAAGGTTTCTGTATTTGTGTATCTTGATCTGATTGTCCAATGTCCATGTAACTTGCATGCTTTATTTTATGCTTTTCTGGTCTGTTGAAACAATTAGTTTTCCTCCATTCACCGTATAACTTAATAACATGAATATTGTCTCATAATTTGTTACTTAGATTTACTCATAATTTCATATTTTCAATCTCAGGGAATAAGGGCAAGGTGTCGGACTTAAACTGCTTTCTTTCTGCCACTTTGAGCATGCTGCTGGCCAGGGAGTTACCTGGGAGCCTCTCTCTAACTCTAGGATAGAAACAGCTTTGTTCTGTGGTTTGCCCAAAACAGAAACCTGAGTTAAAAATAAAAAATTTTGTGTGTGTGTGTATGTGTGTATATATATATGGTCTTTTTGAAGTAGGGTCTCCCTGTAGTCCCAGCTGTCTTGGAACTCATTATGGAGACCAGGCTGGCCTTGAACTCACAGAGATCTGCTTGCCTCTCCCTCCCAAGTGCTGGGATTAAAGGCATGCGCTACCACGCCCAGCTTCCATATATATATATTTTAAAGCACAGCGTGTGAATCTGTTCAATATTGTGTTTTTATTTGGTTCAGTAATTTGATCTTTGAAATGACAAGTATGGTGTTAACTTTGTAAGGATGTAGTTAGCTAATGTAACCCCTCTGGATTGTAGTAACTTTTGAGACATGCAGTTAAAGTAAGGAAGACAGCCATGGTGAGTGACTCCTTGCTAGACTTGCTCCCTATAATTTATGGAAAAGTAGGAAGGATACAGTAATAAGTACTCAGAGCTCATCCCAAGAGAATTGTATGAAGGCATTCAGTACATGGGCTGTTGTGGGAGCCAGAGTCTCAGCCTACCCAATGAACCTGTGGAGGAGGACCATGAGACCAGGCCTGCACAAGGCTATCCTCACAGTGACATAGCCTGGTTGTGCTTCAGATTGCAAGGTTTGGAGAACTCAGCCAGCCTTCACTGATGCCTCTGCCTTGACAGTGCCACAGGTCCTGTCCTCCACCCCCCACAAGTGAGAAGTAGTGAACATGTAGGAATAGAAAACAGATTTGTTATTAACATGCCTGTCTGCTTGACATTTCTGTTTTTGAGGTCCATTTTACTTTGTGAATAAGTTGGACAGAACAGCTGAGCTCCAGGACTGGTCTGGAGGCATCAACAACCTGCCCTTAAAGTTGCTTTTCATCTGCTTGTCTGATTATTTTGCTTTAGAATAGAATCTAGGGCTAGGAGAGAGCTCAGGGGTGAAGTGCTTACCTGGTGTACATTAGGCTCTGGGTTGCATTCCAGCAGGGCAAAATGAAATGAAAACAACACAATAGACTCTAGAAGATCCTTAGTTTTGGTCTGTCCTTAAAATTGTACAATTATACCTTCCTAGAAGCAGAAATTTCTAAACATTACTTATTTTAAAACATTACTTGTTTATTCTTTTGGGCAGATAACATTTGCAAAAATTGAGCTCCTTCTCACCCCATGACCTTCTTTCTTCATTTTCCATTATTCCCCCTCAAAGGTCTCTCTGTTATGAGTGTCTTATAAAATGGTCCACTAAGACCGGTCCAGATGGTAACATACACCTATATTCACTCGTTTCCCAGTTTTGCACAAATAGCCGCTTCTATACACCCTTTCCATCTGGCTTCTAGCACTTAATGTATTTTGGCAATCTTTCTGTGTCAGTAGAATTATATTGCTGTTTTCTTTTTTTCACAATTGTACATTATGCAATAAATTGTCAAATTATTGACTAGCTCAAGTTATTTTTAAACGTTAGAGGAGTACATATAGTCTTTCAATAATTTAGTCAGAAATTTCTGCTTCCAGGAAAGCATAGTTGTGCTTTTCACTAGTCCTCATGTTAAATATAGCTCAAATCCTGGCCATTACATTTAAAAAACAAAAGAAGACTCTAAGCACCCATATTCCTTGGGTCACAACTGTCTGTTAACTCCAGTTCCAGGGGATCTGGTGCCCTCTTCTGGTCTCTGCAGGCACCTGTGTTCACGTGGCATATATCCTTAAAAAGAAAAATAATCAGATGAACAAAACCCTTAAAGAATATGTTGCCAGAATACTGACCTTCAGGGAATTACCAAAGGGAAATTTTAGAACAGAAAGGAAATGACAAGAGAAGGCACTTTGTATACCAGGGTGAAGATGCTGGGTAGGTACTCATGAGCTATCACAGATGCTCTCCCTCTTCAGCTTTCAGTTATGTTCGAGGGTGGAAGCAAAAATTCCACATTGGTTCTTTTTTGGTACTAGAGGTTGAACCCAGGGCCTCATGCATGCTAGGCAAGTGTTCTACTCCTGAGCTATATTGAGCCCAATGCTGGATCTAAATGTATATACTGAAAATATTGAAAGCAATTAAACTAAATGGAAGAGAGTACAGACCAAAAATCATCATCCAATCCAATACCATGAACATTTCTCCATTTTTTTCTTCTGAGAATTGTTTGATTTTCACTGTTTTAGTTAAACATTTTAATCTACTTTTGAACTAATTCTTGCATATTATAAGGGTCCAAGTTGACTCTTTTGCAAATGGATTTGTTGAAGAGACTATACTTGTGCCATTGAATGATTTTGGCACTGTTGTCAAAACTTGTATGTAGGAGGAGGGTCTGTGCCCACATCCCCTATTCCATTTCACTGATCTGTGTGTCTCTTGTCATGCCAACACCACACTGTTAATACTGTAGACTTGTAGCTCAAAAAGTATTTTGGTTTATTTATTTTTCCTTTATGTTCATTCCTTTATGTTTTGTGTGCATATGAGTGTTGTAAGTGCACTATGTGCATGCAATACCGACAAGGCCGGAAGACGGCATTATATCCTCTGGAACTAAAATTATGGATGGTTGTTCACCACCATGTGGGTGCTGAGAGCTGAACTGGGGTCCTTTACATGAGCAACCAGTGCTCTTAACTGCTAAGCCATCTCTCCAACCCCTGTTGTAGGTTTTGATATTAGAAAGTGTGTAAGCCTTCTAACTTTGAGATTTGGTAAAATTTTTAGGACTCTATCTTACTACTGCAGAGTACACTGTTGAGAGGGATTAGGTAGACTGTGCAGACTGCTTTGAATGGTATTGTTGTAGTAAGGATAGTAAGTCTTCCGACGCATGTAAATGGAAAATCATTCTGCTTATGCTTATTTGACTTCTTTCAGAAATTATTTTGTAGATTCTGGTGTACAAGTCCTTTACCTCCATGGTTAAATTTATTCTAAAGTACTTTATTTTCTTAACTTCTTTTTGGATTGCTCATTGCTAGTATATAGAAATGCAACTGATTTTCTTTCTCAGTGTGTGTGTGCATACATGCATGTGTTCATTTGTGTGAAGGTACAGATGCATGTGTGCACATGCATGTGGAGGCCAGGGGTCAGCCTTGAACACTATGCCCCAGGCACCATCCACCTTTTTTGAGGTAGTGTCTCTTGCTGGCCTGGGGCTTGCCAGTAAGGCTAGGCTGGTTGGCCAGTGAGCCCTAGGGATCTGCCTGTTTCTGCCTCCTCAGTGTTGGCAAACATGTGCCACCACACCTGGCTCTGTTTACCTGGGTCCTGGGGATGGAACTCAGGTCCTCATGCTTTCATGTCATGCACTGTTTTACCGACTGAACTGTCTCTCCAGCCCACAACTGATTTTTGTATATTGATTTTTCACCCCCACAATTTTGCTGTTTGTTTATTAATTCCACTTATCATGTGTGTAATTTTAGAGTCCTTTACGTATAAAATTATGTCATCTGTGAATAGAGGTGTTTTTACTTTCCAACTTGGGTGCTTTCTGTTTCTTGCCTAACTGTTCCGATGAGAGTCTCTAACACTATATTGAATTAAAAGTAGGCATTTGTGGGCTAGAGAGTTGGTTCAGCGGTTAAGAGCACTGACTGCTCTTACAGAGGACCCAGGTTCGATTTCCAGTACCCACATGGCAGCTACCGACCATTCTTGACTCCAATTCCAGGGGAATCTGATGCCCTTTTCTGACCTCCACGGCACTGCATGACACGGGTGTGCTCACATGCAGGCAATACACTCATACACATAAAATAAAAATAAATTAAAAAAATATTTTTAAAAAGTAAGCATTTGTTTGGCTCTTGACTTAAGGGAAGAGTTTTACCTTTTTGTCATTGGAAATAATGCCACTGCTGTGAGTCCATAGGGGCCTTTATCATGCTGGGGATCTTTAGTTCCACTCAGTTCACTAAGTGTTATCATCATCATCTAAGAGTGGTGAATCTTGTTATGCTTTTTCTGCATCAGTTAAGATGATGTGGCATTTCCCTCTTTCATTCTATTAATGTGATGGATTGTGTTGATTTCCATGTTTTAACCCATCCTAGCATTCTAGAATAATTCCTCTTGACCAGTATTTATAATTCTTTTAGTATACTGCCGAATACCATTTTCTAGTTTTTTTGTTGATGTTATTATCTCACCATTCAGAAGGGAAGTTGGTTTAAAGTTTTTTCTTCTTGAATACCTGGGTTCAGTATCAGAATGGTGCTTGTGTCATGGAGTAAGTTAGGAAGCACTCTTTCCTTAATTTTTTTGAAAAGTTTGAGACTGGCTGGTCTTAATTCTCCTTTAAATATTAGTAGAATTTCCAGTAAAGCTGTCTGTCCCTGTTTATTTGTTGGAAAGGTTTTGATTACTGACTTAAGCACTTTATTATTACAAGTCTTTTCTGGTTTGATCTTGTTGGGCTAT